AATAGGTCACCTCAGGTGGCCCTATACTTGTTCTTTCAACTGGTCAAATAGGCCATCTGAAATTAGAAATGATGGAATTGGTGCACGAATACTACACTTTATGGTTAAAGTAGATCTAGCAAGGCGCCATCTTGGAACTTTTTAAGTGGAATGGGCGTAATGACCCTAGAATATAAAAGCACTATCTTTCAAAGGTTGAGCGTTTGTTACATTGAATGGCTTTTAACTCTACAACCAATCATCAAAACGGTTTATGTCAATATTATTGCCTTAGGATAGGGATGACGGCTTGTGCTGAATTTGTAGGATAGCTTCCATATTTGCTTATTGCTTATTTCATCCGTGTGACCAGCTGTGCCCTATTCCATCATATGACCTCCCAGAGAAGCCTTGCAGATGGGTTGCACAACGTCAACGCGGGTGTTTCCCAGTGATCGGTCTCCGACACTATTACTTTCAGCTTTGCCGATGACAGCACTCTACATGCAGGAATTCAGAGTGATAAGCCAATCTATGCCGATGAGCTAGAGAAAAGAACACTAGCAACGACCTCCTCTCTGACTGAGATCTGGAGGTTATCACTGCTTGGATACGCAAGAAACACGGCACTGTACATTGGCAAACAAAAAGCGTCCGCTTCCGACTCCAATTTTAGTTTGTTGCAGTCTGTTTCCTATTTGTGTTACATAGGTGCGTGTGTGGTGATATGGGCAGTGCCCCAGAAGACAAATGTATGGATTCAGATCATGGAAGTGGTAGTGAATTTTGAGAAGACCAAGAAGAAAATAGAGAAGCCCATAATTATTTCTATGGAAAAGAATCGTCTTAGGTGGAATGTTACGGAAGTTATGCCATCATCACGTACAAGGAAACATAATACAGTCATGGGGAGTCCTGTTCTAAGAGGGAAAAGCTCATGTACCAACTGCATAAATATCGACAATGTTTGGGACATGCTGTGAATTTTTTTGCGTTGCCGTTTGTTGTCTGTTAACCAGAAGCCGCATTGTGTTCATTACTTTATTAGAAAATTCCAAAAAAATGGAGACTTTTCCATAATTTTACTTTAGTCTGTGAATACAGCGATATTTTTTTATGGCTTTAATTATTAAAAATATCCGTTTATGTGCGTGTGTTCTTTTAATGAGCATTTTATGTATTAAACACTGAAAAGCATCTAATATGTACAGGGTGGCCAATATATAACTGACTGTTTTAAATTGCACGCCATTTTTGATACGCGCATTTCAGTAGGTAGCGCCATAGTAGTTGTTTAAAGCACATGTGTCCAACTCGTCATGGAGCGCTACATGATCGCACAACGCGTCAGTATTGTTAAAATGTATAACTTAAATAATGAGCCGATTGTTGTAACGATTCGGAAGCTACGACAAGGTTTCGGTCGAAGCGCCCTGAGACGTCTACCAGACATCGTTCTCAAGAACTGGGTATTCGTCGCACGTCATTATGCGCTATTTTTTAAACTATACTTGCATTTGCGGCCATACAAAATTCAGTTAACCCAGCCTAGTGACCATGAAAGAAATGTAATCAAGAGGTCTCAGGTTTGCGCGACTTCTAGAGGCGGTCATTTGTCTGATATTATTTTTCTAAGTTTCAATAAAAGATTAAGATGAGATGGACGTATTTTATTTCATTCAACAAATACAAACCAGTAAGTTACATGACGCCCAACTTAGCAGAGTAATTCGTTGCTGTTTCTCTTATTCTAATATTTCGAACTCCTTGAAGATCGCAGATTGTGCACCGTAAATTGCTGTTTCCTGTTAAGGGTTAAATAATGTAGTGTAATTGAACGAAAAACTAGGTTACATCAGTCTATAATCTATTATTACCGATTCGAAATAACGTACGGATTTCTAGGAAACATTGGGTGGCGAGGCGCCTGTTAGTCAATAAATCTATAACACGAATTTGCTAACGGCAGCCAGGCCAGCGAAGTAGACACAAGTCCCTTGAATATACAATGCAAATGGCTAGCTTGCTGCTTTAAACTCTCCAGCCACACTTTATCAATAATTACCTATTTGGGTCAAGGAGGCGAGAATGGGTTTCTAGCGGAGTTCTCCCTCACGTGCTAGCTCAATAACTGTAACTGTAAGTTACGAAGTTTGACTGCAAATTTTTGTTTTTCGATATTTAAACTTGGAAACCGTCTATGTCGCTCTATATTTTTGTAGCCTTATAACTACTAGGATTTGGACGATAACTTTAACTTTATTAGTCAGACCTGACTAACAAGTATAGGCATAAGTCAATTATATGAACTACAAATTCAAATCAGTCAAAGACTAGAGTGTATCATCTACAACGAACAACAACGTATATATATATATAGGTGAAAAAATGAAAAAATGAAACTTCCGTCTTTAGAAGAGTACTTCGACAAGATTAAAGCGATGATGACTCTTCATACTTTATTAGACTCTAGCTTTCCTCGAACTATGCCATCATCATCAGGAGCTACAATAACGTTAGGAAGAAATAGCAACTATTGTGCAAAATAATTTTAAATTATTTACAATAGTATGTGAGATTGTTGCTAAATGTTACTACAGGTTAAGTTGCTGGAAACAATTAGCAACCTGGTGAAAGCTGGATTCATGGTACATTCGTTAAAATTGGTCAAAAACACACACAGGTGTATGTCAGGAACACATCACAATGGATTAAAAATATTTGGAATGAAAGTTAAAATTACACATTTTCATCGTGAAACAACCACTTGATGCTGCACAAAAGGGTGTAGGACAGTATCATAAGTAGAGCGAAACATTTGACAAATGACAGAAGGCTGCTAGTGTCAGTGTCGATGGATGGACCGAAAGTTTGTTGTTTTTGTTCTGGCAACATGGAAGCGCCCTTTCTGTGTAAAATTCTTAAATGCTCTGCACAGGTTTTGCCAAACACTCAACCCAACCATTTTTAAACAAACTGGGGAAAGGTATTTAGTGAGGCAAGCTTTATACGGAATAGACGAGTTTTAAAATAATGATTTTACCGATTTTGTTCCATAATTGTTGACTATTTGTTTTATTACTTTGTGTTTGTTTTCGATTTTGTTCATATTTTTTTACATAAATGTTTTGTATTGTATTTTATTGTTCAAATGCTTATATTTTTTTCGACGTGAGTAAGCACCTTTGTGTACACACACGAGAATAAATTATTGTTATTAGTATTATCATTATTATTATAAGTAAAATGGGCAACCTGGGCTCCGACACACTTAGGCCCGTATCGTCAGTCGTCCCTACAACTGTAGGGCGCGTTTATGGCCTCCTTGATTGTCATACTCCTTTCTCTCCTTCAAAAATTTCTAGATTACACTTGTCCCGTGTCAGCGTCAGCGCTCTCCTATTGTGAAGATATGTTTTCTTTTTAAATTGTAGGAAATTTCAGGCTGATAAAACATGATATAACTCAAAAGCAAGCACAATTTGATGCAAATAGATATTTGAGTGCTGACACGGAGAAGTAGAAAACTATGACAATCAAGGAGGCCATAAAGGCGCCCTACAATTGTAGGGACGACTGACGATACGGGCCTAAGCTACTGTTTCATTAACAACTAGCTTGTCCTCACACCGTGATTTAAGCAACTAGTTGGTCCGCAAACCGTGTGTTGTAAGTAGACGCAGGCAACCAAGGATGACAGCTTTCTAATATTGTTGCCTGTGACATTTCTTTGTGGCTAAAGTTATAATAGCCAATTCGACCTGCGTCATGCTGGCATGCTTGTCCATAGACCTCCTTGAAGTTCATACTCCGCAGCCAGCTTGGCAAGGTAGGTAGCCTCATCTGAAAGCTGATACACGTGTACCTGTCTCCTCTCTTGCGTTCCTTTTTAACCCAATTCACTTGACTCCATTTTTTCCAGCAAAGTCGTCCGTGAAAAATGATTTATCACAGCTTTGTTTCCGTGCTGACAAAAAAGAACAAATGGCCACTATACCGAAATAGCTGTTGTCTACCGCACCGAATGCCGGCTGGCAAAAATCTCGCGCGGACAGCTTCGAGTAAAATAAAGAATTAGGGGATTACACGGGGATCAGGGACGAGGAACAACGGCCGGGTTTTATATCCGGCACGCTACTCACGTATTCGTTGGGGATATAAACTTCCGGTTTCAGTCTATATAACTTTTTCCTTCCCTTCGTCCTAGCCCGCTGTCGAAAATCGCCACCGCATACACCGCTGGTTTCAAATGACTCAGTTAAGTCGTCCGAAACTCAAAAGTTCTTTCAAGCGAACAGCCTGAGATGAACTGCTACCCGCATCAGTCTGTACAGGGTGATTCAAAAGACAATGGAACTATTTAAAAAAATATAAAAGGTCTTTATAATGTAGGTTCTAAATGAGGAGCCTAAAGAAACTTTGTTAACCCGATTTGTTCTGGAAGGTCGAAGTCGGGTGGGTCTGTCTGGCAGGCACATCGCCCGGCGGCATCATGGAGGAGGACTCTGAGGAGCAGAACCCATTGGCGTAGCGGTAAAAGAGAGCTAGATCGCCAACGGCCCACCGGTGCGAAAGGGTAACAAGACCGTCCATTAGAGAAGAGTTGTTGGTTAAGGTTAACCCTTCTCTGAACAGCATCGAGCATGTATAATATAGCTGGAGCGGCAGCACCGCAAACATGTGGGACCAAGTCTTACCTGGGTCTTGTACAAAGTGAGAAGGTCATGTGGAGGAACGTACTTCTTAGCGCTAAAAAAATAGCCTACGTTTTTCCCCGACATGTTATCATAGTAATTTCAACAATTCTTACAAATATAGGACACCTTAAAAAAATAAACTGTATACAATTCGGGCATGAACTACCTGCACCGCTCTCGACATAATACAGTCATATATTTCTCAAGCGGCAAAGCCGAACTTTGCGGTTCGACTACGTTATAATTTTGTCAACATTATTTTCAAATGGTTTAAAACTATTCCTGTGATGAAACTATGGCTACGTCTTTCAATCTGTAACTTACCAATGCATTTAGAAATCACCAACAACTGGTAGATTTTTTGCTCCTGGAAAAGAGAAAAATGACGATTTAATAACAATAGGGTAATATGAAGGGAAAGACTTCAGCAGAATTTTCCGTAGTAAAGTTTTTTTTTTCTAGTTCCATATAGTCCGTTCACGAATCTATTGCTGATTTATAAAAATGTACAATTTTCTTCAAATAAAATTAATCTGATAGTCACTAGGCCCGATACCGGAGGTTCTCTTATTATATACTAAGTGACATATTTTAATAAAAGTTGGTGAATGTATTTATCTTACTGTAAATAACAAGTGAAAAAATTTTCAGCCTTATCAGTTGGACATTTCGGTTTTTATACTGCTTTCTTTTAATTCACTCACGCTCTAAAAATGAATATTTCAGCCGCAGTAAAGAATCAACGTTGGCGGATTTTGGTTCTTGACATCCTTTACGATCGGTTACGATGCCTAGAGTATGGAGACCTGTACGATTTCGTCAACTTAGTGAGTTTGATAGGGGCCGTATAGTGGGACTTCGGGAAGCTGGACTTTCTTTTCGGGCAATTGCAGTTAGAGTGCAAAGAAGTGTAGACACTGTGGTTAGGTGTTATCAGGCATGGCTTCGAGAAGGCCGTACGCAAAGAGCAAGGGGCACTGGACGCCGCCGTAGAACAACAGACCGTGAAGATCGCCGCCTAAGATTATTGGCCTTAAGGGACCGTTTCTCCACTACCAGGTCCATTGCAAATGAATGGTTTGCAGAACACGGAAGACCTATTGGCATGCGAAGTGTTTACCGACAAATGAGAAGTTTTGGCTTGTTTTCATACCGGCCAAACTGGGTCCTCCCTTTAACTCGAGAACACCGACGTTATCCCCAATTGAGCACGTGTGGGATATGATGGGTAGGAGATTGCTCAATTTGCAACGTCCTCCTCAGACTCTTGAAGCACTTCGAGAGAAGTTGGTGGTTGCCTGGAATGAGATACCACAGGAGGACATTGACCACCTGATCAGAAGCATGCCTAGGCGCGTTGGAGAATGCGTAGCACATCAGGGTGCATCCACACATTATTAAAGGTCAAAAGGCTTTAAAGCAGTGCAATCATTTTGAAATTTTTATCATTTACTTATTATGCTTCATTAAGTACTTATACAAAATTTTTTTAAAATAAAACCATTTAAACTGGGTGTTCGGATTTATATGTCACTTATTATATTATTCAAATTTACCAAACCATCAGCATAATCTTTAACAGATTGATCTCCTTGTCAGTCATCAGGACTGACACTACATACCTACTTTTAAATCTTTATTGCGCGATGCCAGTCATGAGTTCTGTCCTGAATTGTTTATATTTTCCTGACGAAGAATGTATCGAAATATATAAAATATTTATTTCCTTGAGTACTCGATTTTTGAAACACAAAGCGCGTCAACTCAAAAGTATCTCATTTTAGATTTGCATTAAATGTTAGATGCAGTATTGACATTCAGCTTGATGGTTCTTTCGCGTCTCTTCCACACGTCCTTCAGTTCCAGCAATTTCCCAGAGCACTGGCAATTTGCTCAAGTCCAACCCATCCCAGAAAAGGATCTACAACTGCAGGTCTGTAGTTTGGCTTTCTGTTATAAGTAAGGTGATGGAGAGAGGAGCTTTTGGAGTACCTCGAACGTCACGGCTTGATTAGCGACAGGCAGTACGGTTTCCGGTATCAGCGATCCATTGGGGACCTCCTAGCTTACAACACGGAACTGTAGAGTAAGCTCCATTGAGTCTTATGTCATTGCTGAGGATATCATGCAAACTTAAATCCTATGGCCTCCTAGAATAGCTTCGCAGATAGGTGGCTAACGCCCTATCTGGCCACAAGACAGCCCTCGTAATTGTCTTCATTATCATCTCACAATGTCAACGCGAGTGTTCCCCAGGGATCGATCTTGGATTCGATATTGTTTCTCTTGCGTATCAAAGACCTCCTTTCTAGTACGATCAGTCCGATTTACGTCTTTTCAGATAATAATAATAATAATAAAGTGCCTTTATTGGCAACCTTCCATATTATGGCGAAGTTTAGCTTGATTGCTACTCTTCCACTTAACGATAATATGGACAAAACATCAACAATTTATACAAGGAACATAATACATAGAATATAAACAATTACAGAACAATGACGAGATTATACCATTTGCTAGCCAAGCATGCCAGAAAGCAAATATCGACATGAACATTAGAAGTCAACCAAATTGAAAATATTCATTTAACAAAATCCCAAAAATAAAAATAAAATAAATTAACAACTCAAACATTGAGAGATGATTGTATCTCTAATATCTGTTTTCTAACTGATTTTTTAAGAGAGTAAACTTTCTTGTTTGTTAGCCGCACTGACTGAATTGTAAAGCTGAACGGCATTATACGTGAAAGACCTCTGATATAATGAGGTGTAGTGAAGAGGAATATTGAACTGTTCATCATGACGTAACCTTCTTGAAATTAAATTCCTACGCGGAACTAACTTATTTGCAAGATAAATAGGTCTCTTGGTAACGACTGTTTTATGTACAAAAACCAACATATGAAACTGGAAAAGATTATTGAGATGACAGCCAGTCTTCAGAGTGACAAGCTGATCTCTGCCGGTGAGCTGGATAAACTAAGGCTGGCGACTTTCTCTCTGACGAAAGACCTGAAGCTTATCTCAGCTGGGGTAAGCAACAATCTGATACAGTTTAAGGCTTCCCTAACACAGTACTGTACCTTGAATAACAAGAAGCACCCTAGCTCATCCGGTTTCGATAAAAGGCCTAGTACTACCAAACAGCCGTTTATTTCAGGTGGTCGGAGTCCAAGTCGCCGAGCGCTTGATCTGACCCGAACACATCTCGCCAATAGCGGCAGCTGTTGGGAAAAATCTAGGACAAAGAAGTACCTGTCTCCAGATGACCTCCTCACTCTGAACAAGCCCCAGATAAGACCCAGCCTCGAGTACTGCTCACATCCTTGATCGACTCTGTTCAGACTGATCCGACTGATCGATGACACTTCTCTAACGGACAGTCTCAAGACCACCGTCGGCGATCTAGCTCTCCTCCCATCCCAACCGTGTCGAACTTCGTACATCCGCAACTGGCCGATACGACCGCTCCTTTGTCCCTATGGTATCGAGATAGTGATACAAACTACCTGAGGAGGCTTTTACCAGTTCTACGAACCTGAGACAGTTCGAACATGGCAGCCAAAAAGTTATTGCATTAGCAGCTGTGGCTTTAATTACTTATTGAGCAGAGGGGGAGAGCGGATAAAGGGTGAGGGGAACACTGATGCAGCGAGATATGTCTGTAGTTTTGATTAGCGGGACTGTTAATGAACATACGCAAGCCAAATACTAAATATTGCTTTACTACGTATTCGCATTGGCATTCTTGTTATGATTGGTAGGTAGCGACATGATCCCAAAGCCCCTTTTGACCCTTGGGTCCCCTCCATATCATCAGAAGCCTGGATACCAGCGAAGAATCTTATCCTACAACCTGAATATACAGAGTGCGGCAGAGAAGATGTACGGTTTTAAAAAAATCATAAAATAGTTAATTTTTACTAGAAAACAAATTTATTGATGGAATCAGGTTCACAAGGAAATAGCATTTGAGACGATCAAGTGTGGAAAATCACATCAGGCATGTGGTGGCCGAAATCGTTGATGCAGTGCTGGAGGCGTTCTTGGAAGTTCGCGTAGACTCTCTCCAACATCGCTCTTTCAACTTGTGTGACTTCCACGTGAATTTCGCCCTTCAATTCGTCCAGAGTTCAGGGCTTGTTCGCATATACTCTAGCCTTGAGGTGTCCCCATAAGAAAAAATCGCATGTGGATAAATCTGGGGACCGAGGAGGCCAATGAACATCGCCAAACCTGGAAATAAGGTTACTTTTGGGCTGTGCAGCGGTCTTTCGTGTAACTGTTGCGGATTTTCATTAGCCCAATAACGACAATTCTGCTGGTTAACCATGCTATTTAGATGAAAGTGGGCTTCGTCACTCATAAACAAAATGAGGTTCTCATTTTGATCGATCAGTGCTTCCATCTCACGTGCGAAGTTCATTCGTTGTGCATAATCTCCGGACTGTAACTGTTGCACAATGGCCAATTTGTAGGGGTGAAAGCGGAGATCCATATGCAAAATTCGCCTTACCGAACGATCACTAAAGCGAAGTGCAGCAGCATGTTTCCGGGCAGATCGAGTCGGACTGCGAAGAAAGACCTGTTCGCGTTCAACATTTTCAGGAGTTCGAACTGATCGCGGCGCTCCTGCTATTCTTCTGTTGATCAGTTCACCACGCCTGCGAAGTGATTCAACCCAACGAAGGATGGTGTTTCGAGAGGGAACAGCTCTATTCCGATGAATGTTGAAGTGGCGCACAAAAGCTGGCTCTGGAAAGGTTCGAGTAAACATGGGTCCTAAAATACCCTCTTACCAAGTTTCAGCGCATTGAAGTTTTAACTTCAAAATCGAAAAAAATATACAGGGCATTCCGAAACAACTACATTTGGAATACCAAATCTAATTTGCGGCAAAGCGACACGGAAAACGTAAAAAAGAAAATGAAGAGAAATACTCATTTGGTTAAGAATTTCAAGTACTGTTCTGACACATGTTTTGTTTCTTCAAAAAGACAAGTTTGTTTACCTCTTCCTAAATTTGCAACTGTTGTGGCTGTCTAGGTCTTTAACTATGTTCAACCACACGGCTTTTGCACGATATTAACAAATATAATATGACGCTCTGATGAAGAGAAACATCGAGGACGACGGCGAGTTCACTCGCGGAGAGAAGATGCTCATATCAAATCGATAACTATGCTATTGCTCTAAGAATGTTCCAATTTCTAAGTTTAAAACTAGATTAACCTAGACTCGCGACTCCTTTTTGACGTAAGAAGGGATTGTAGGGGGTGGCACGGTCGTTATGGTTCATGTATTGCTTTTTGGAGTCTAATATAGTAATAATAATAATTTATTCGGTATCCACTATTACAAC